CCAGTTTACTTTATTCTCTCTCCAAGTTTCCTTACATTTATCCTATATAAAATGTTCAGGGATTTCATGTTGAACTTAGTGGGTAGAATTAAGAAAAGTATTTTGACTTAATTCTCCCAGATGCATAAGTTCACGTACTAGGCATTCCCCAACTTTCAGTGGTTTGACTTAGGAATTTTTGACTTTATAGTGGCACAAATGTGATATGCTTTTAGTAGAAGCACAGTTCAAATTTGGACTAAGGCATTCTGGTTTTTCTACTTTCAATATAGTATTGAAATAAATAGGCTATTTGGGGGCTGGAGCAATAGGACAGAGGGTAGGGCATTAGCCTTACACACAGCCAACCAGGATTCGATCCCCTGTACCTCATATGGTCCCCGAGCATTTCCAGGAGTAATTCTTTAGTGCAGAGCCAGCAGTAACCCCTAAGATCACTGGGTCTGGCCCAAACACGAAAGAAAGAAAGAAAGAAAGAAAGAAAGAAAGAAAGAAAGAAAGAAAGAAAGAAAGAGACAAAGAAAGAAAGAAAGAAAGAAAGAAAGAAAGAAAGAGAGAGAGAGAAAGAGAGAGAGAAAAAGAAAGCTAGAAAGAGAGAGGAAGGAAGGAAGGAAGGAAGGAAGGAAGGAAGGAAGGAAGGAAGGAAGGAAGGAAGAGTAGTAACACAATAGGCATTAGATGATTTTTCCCAACTATTGGCTAACGTAAAAGGTCTGCTGACATTTAGTGTATGTTGGACCATTGGTTTTCATCTGCAGGTGTAAAGAGGCTGAAAACCATTGGGCTAGACTAAAGTAATATATTCAGCAGGAAAGGTATACTGAATGCATTCTGAATGCTATTCAGAAAGGTATTCTAAATGCTTGTTGGGACTTATTCTTACCCTAAGTGAAAGATCTACATTATTTAAAAAACAAATTCATTGCGGCACTGGAAACATGGCTAATAGAAAGTGCATTTTCTGCATGCATGAGGTCTGGGTTTGATCACCAGCACCACAGGAGGGAAAAATTGTTTTTATTACAGATAATTCCAAGCCTATTAAGCATCGAGAGCTATAAAATGAATCATCATCATCTATCACCTCACTTCAACAGCTATTAGCTCACAGCAGTTTTGTTACGTATCTTCACTTTCTCCTCCCACCTCCTATCAAAATACAAATTCTAGACCTCATGTGTTTCATCCGCAACCCTCCTTACATGTCTCTAAATAGACAATTTTTAGACTATCCACGTAGAAATAATTTCTTAGTACCATCAAATACCCAAATTTCCGACTATAAGTGTCATGAATTTTTTTAACAGTTGAAATCCAGTTCAAATATGGCTCACATATTACAACTGGTTGCCAGTTTCTTGAGTTTCTTACCCTAAGTTTCTCCGCGTCACTTCTTTCCCTTGCCATCAGACTGTTGCAGCAGATTTGGTGACTTGTTACTAAACTCTAGATTTGCTTTCATTTCCTAATAAATGATTTAATTTAAGAAAAAAGTACTAGAAGATTGCTATGGAGTAAGATGATGTTCACAAGTTGGGGCTTGGAGATGGCTTAAATGGCTGGAGTACACACTTTTCTTGTGGGCTCAGCACCCCAAGTACCCTCCAGGGGTGACGCCTGAGCACTGTGCAAAGAATACCCCATAGCATCACCATGTATGGCCTCAAACAAAACAAAGCAAACAAAAATTGAAGAAAATACTTAGCTTAAACTCTTATCAATATTTCAAAAGGCCCCAAGGAAATACCCCATACTTTATTATCACCATTGTTTTTTTGGGGGGAGGGGAGTGAACTACATCTACTGATGCTCAGGGGCTACTCCTGGCTCTGTGCTCAGGTCAGGTGTGATCCCTGATGGTGCTTGCAGTATGTGGTCAGGAATTTAAACCCCGGTGAGCAGGATGCAAGTCAGTCCTTTAACCTCTGTACTTTCTCTCTGACTCCCTCAGTAACTCAATACCTCAGACTTTAAAGTAAGGCATGGACTTGTATTTGGAAATCAGGACTTTAAGTTTTTATTTTCTACATTTTTCTTTTGCTTGAAATATATATGATGATCAGAACATTTAATAAATAAATCTAAATACGAATTTACAGTGTTCCTAAATACTGCTCCCTCTGACCCATGAGAGTCTAAAACACAGCTTACTCTGCCTCTTACCCAAGACCTGGGTTCTGACACGTCTACCCCAGTGAAACATGGGTGGTAGGAAGCTAAGCCGTATCCCACACTCTGTAAATTCCCCCGGAGCTATGCTTACCCAGCAAGACAACTGTTCCTTTCGATTACTCAGAACAAAGGCTACTTCAGTAGCTTGCTATGCAGTAAATGCTTCCCACATAACATACATTGGAGAAAGGTTTTGCTTAGCTCATTGATGAATGCTTTCAACATATCTCATGCCATAAAGGTCTGCTTGTGGGCTTAGGTTTACCTCACCCCAGCTTTCTCTCCTTTCAACCCACTAAGACTAAGCAAGTCAGGGCTTACTGAATGGTTGTGCAAGTACTAAGCACCTGGTAGCTGCAATCCAGTCAACATCCAAAAGGTAAATCAGCACCAAAGAGACAGTATAAGGTGTTAGGTGTTTGCTTTGAATATGGCTGGCCCTTGTTCAATTCCCATCATTGTATCATCCCCTAAGTACCCACAAGCACAAAACCCAGAGTGGCCCCTGAACACCACCAGATGTGCCCAACTTCCCCTGCCCAAAGATAAATTAAAACTCTCAACCATTCTAGAACCTAGAATATGAAAGGCTCTTTATTCCTTGGTTCAGTTGGCCACCATGGACCAGGATAAGGTTTTTGTTGTTGTTGTTTTTTGTTGTTGTTGTTGGTTTTTGGTTTTTGTTTTGTTTTGTTTTGCTTTCTGGGTCACACCCAGTGATGCTCAGGGGTTACTTCTGGCTCTGCACTCAGTAACTACTCCTGGCGGTACTTGGGGGAACCATATGGAATGCCGGGAATCGAACCCAGGTTGGAGCATGCAAGGCAAATCCCTACTCGATGTACTATCACTCTGGCCCCTGGCCAGAATGGTTTTATGGGCCAGTTGTTATTTTATGATTTTTGGTATTTGGGGATTGGTGATTTCTTTGTCTGTCTATTTGTTTGTTTTTTTGCAGTACTGGAGATTGAACTCAGGGCTATGTACACTATGCGTGTGCTCTACCACTTGGGTTAGCTCCTTAGGCAAAACAGGATCATATCTTAAGCTGCTTACATAGGGCTTCACATGTGACACCAATACCAACAATGATCATTATGTCTTCCTACTTAAAAGACGAGAGGGAGTCTTTTAAAAGCACAGAATTACCATGTGTTCCAACAATTTCACTTCTAAGAATATATACCAAGACATTGGAGGAAGGGGTATAGACCCTGGTCATAGGAGCATTTGTCAAAATAGCTAAGAGAAGAAAGCAACCCAAATGCCCACTGGTAGAAGGATGAACAGATAAAATGTGGTGGAAACACATAATGATATATTCAGTTTGTAAAAAGCAATAGCATTTTGATGTATGCAACAACATGGATGAAGTTTGAAGACATTATGCCAAGAGAGTAAGCCAGACACAAAGGGATATAAATCCACTTTATGGAATGTACCTAGAAGATGAAAAAGCATGACAATAAAACAGGGGCTGCTGAGGACCAGGGGAAAAAGGAAGAGAGAAGTACTTTCAATGAGTACAAAGTCTTAGTTTGAGAAAGTGAAAAAGGGTTTTAAGATGGATAGTAGTGACAGGTCCTCAGCTTAGTAACTGTACTCAATGCTACCAAATATCACACTGAAACATAGTCACAAGAGTGGATTTTATCACATGCTATGTACATTTTACCACAACAAAAAAATCAAAACACACACATATATATATGCGTACATACATATGTGTGTGTGTGTGTGTGTATAAGAAGGGGGAAGAAAGTGTTTCCACTAAGGGTATAACACAAAAAATGCAGACGAAGGAAATAGCAATGACTAGTCACATTCCTGAACTATCACAAATGGTCATTTTCTAGAAAACAGCAATAAGAAAGGAAACCATTTGCCATTAACAATGGGGAAACTGGACAGCAGTGATAGAGGCACTGCAGACAAACCTTTTAGGCCTTGTCCAGATGCAATCCACTCGATTAGTTCTGTTACCAAGAGACTGATAGGGCTGTAAGCACCTTTCTACCATTCAGGAACCTAATTCTAACATGTGTGAGGCCCTGAGTCCATTCGATTCCTGCCACTACATATTGTTCTGGAAGTCAGGTGCCGGTCAGAACACCCAATGCCTCAAAATATCTGGGACCATTCTAATGTTCTGACCAGGACAGCGTCATGCAGCTGCCTTGGAGATCATAAACAGGAAGCTCAGCAAGGAAGTGTTTGCCAGGGGGTTACAATAGTTCCCACTCCATCTGGAAATCTGAGGCAGCATGAGAATAACCGAAGGAGAAACAAATCCACAGCCAGATGACACAGCCTCTAATCTTGTCCCACAGGTAACAGCAGTGTTCTAGCGGCTTGGACAAGGTCTCTGAACCACTCCCCACCCCCTGAAAAACAAGATTCCTTATTAAAATCACAAAGCAGGGGGTGAGAAAGCCCAAGTGGTAGAGCCATGCCCAGCATGTGTGATGCCCTGAGTTGAATCCCCAGCACCACATGATGAGCCAGCCACCCCGGTGTCCCCTCCCAGTATTGCCAGGGACAGCTCAAGGGCGTCCCCAAGTGAGTGGTCCTGGAGCCTCCTGCACTCCTGGAGTGGCTACTCTACAAAAAAGAAATAAAATCACAAAGCAACAGGTCAGTCATTTCCCACTGCACGGAGGCAGCAGCGTTTCTCTCAGACCTTAAGACTGCTAGGGCATGACAAGATGGTCAGACACAAAGGGACCTTCAGGTAACCACTCTTTGCATGTTCAATTCGAAGACCTTCCTGAAAATGTAAATTTCTAAGACAGAGGATAAGCCTCAGATCCATTCTGATCAGTTCTTACCTCTGCCATAGGCCCTGGCTTTCTTCGGGTTGAGTTTGGGTTTCAGTGGGGCTCCCGGCTTGAGTTTGGCTTTGGGAAACTGGGACAGGTAAGTCATCACTGAATGTTCGTCCACATCGGGGTGAATGATTTCTTCAGGAGTGATCACCTAGAATAATAACAAAGTCAATGAATACTCGGCAGCAGCCGCAGCTCACGTCAAGGGCCCAAGCCAAAGAGAACAAACGTCAAAACAGAAACTCTGTCTCTCGATGACATGGAATTACATAACTGGCACGCCAAAAATATGTTACTAAGTAAATAAAATAAAATGAACTGGGGCACCATGAGCCATGCTTTTCACCTTTCGGAGGTGCTATCATTCCCTTGGGGAGCTAAGGACACTTGGGACAGTTCTATAGAAATTTCCAAAGGTCCAGGCCTCAGGAAAACAAAACAATCCACCCTTTCCCCAGGGCATTTTCCAGAAGGGCTAAGCTCCATCTGGGGGAGGAAGAAAAAACAAGTTTACATGGGATTTGTATATGCAGAGAACCCAGTCTTTCTCTTTTCTTCATTTAGCTGTTAGCTTCATCTCTGTTAGCACAGTTACTGATAAAAAAAAATAATAATAATAAAAATAAAAAAGAGACAGCATCTGAGGTATTTCAAACTGGATATTTCAAACTCGAAATTCAATTGTTGAAGGAGGGGCCTAGCACCAGGAAGATAGCTCAACCATGAATGGTGGCATTTATGCTGTAAATGCTGAGGGCCTGAGTTTGCTCCCAAGCATGGCATGGACCCCTGAACATGATCAAGACTCGGTCAGGTGACCCCAGCCAGCACTGTCAGGGCCAGCAGTAAAGAACAAGGCTTAAGCACTAAATTGATGGAGCACAGCTGGGTTAAGTATCATCACTGAGGTCCCGGGCCCCCTGAATTCTACTGGGACGTCTCCAGCCCCCATCCCACCACATCGCAAAAAGAAGAGAAGATGGGGCCTTTGGGAGGTAAGGAGGTTTGCTGAGATCATGAGAGTGGAATCCAGGGCGAGATTGGTACCCTGGCGCTCTCTTTCTACCAGGCAAGGGCAGAGTGAGAAGGCCAGAAGGCACGTCCCCGCCAAGGCACTTGGCCAGTGCAACTCAATCATGGACTTTCCAACATCCAGAATGAAGACGAAGCCACACAGGTGGCTTAATGGCAGAGGAACAGATGCCTCACATGTGTGAGACCCGGGTGTGATCCCTGGCACCATCCAAATGAAAGCAAAGAAACAAAGGTATGATGTTTTCGCCAACCATTTCCAGTCCATGGTATAAAAAGGCTGAAAAAGCTGATTGAAGTCATCTAGTCTGTGATATTTTGTCAAGGCAGACTGAAAAGGGCATGAATTTCTTCTGACATTTAGCTTGACAGAAAGGATGTTTGTCAAACTGTTTAGGACCCATGCTGGCCTCCCCAGCGGCACAGAGCCTCAGTTCCACCACCTGACCCACCCCCAAATCCTGCTGCTGCCAACAAGGGTGCTGAGGCGAGCTGCCCCTTTTCAGATGAAAAGAAGGTTCTGTCTCCTGAGCCAGGTTAACCAGCTACAGATGCACCCAGCTCATCCCACACCAGAGTACCGGGAAAAACAGAAACAATTCTCATAATTAGCTTGCAGCAACAAAATAGCTACTTGGGTTTGAACAGTCGCCTTCAATATGTTCCCTAGAATGTAGGATGTGTGCGGGTTTGGCGGTTCTTCCAGGCAGCGCCTCCAGCCACTTTACAGTGCCAACATCACATGAACGTCAAAAAAGACGGTTTTAGGTTTAAGAGGAGATGAAAAACATACCACCCCACTTCCTGAGAGGGGGAAGAGCCAAGAAACAGCCATGGAGCAGGGAGGAGAGTCCAAAACCAAACCAAAGAAACATGGGCAAGTGGTTCTTTTTTTTTTTCTTTTGTTTTGTTTTGTTTTCTATTACAAAATAAACTCCATTCTGAACACCACCTCGGACTGTGATGATACCATTTGTCCCACGGCACTGGCTACCCGTAATTCCTCTTGGCCATGGCTTTGATCATGGGACTCAGGGGTCTAACTATCTTCAGGGGGAGTTTTTCAGACTCCTTGGAAGGGCTTGGAAAACTGGATCTCAACTAAGTATGTGGTTACTGACCATGGTATCCAAGAGTTTTTTCAGTTCCCAAGTTTCCTTGCTACGTTCCTATGATAGGATTGTGGGCAATACAAATTCTTCCACAACTTCCATTAATGGTAGGTTCTCCTAGTGTAAACTTTTTGAATGTTCTAAGTCCTGTGACTTTCCCTAGGATAATGGATTTCTACACCATGCCTTCTTCCCTTCCCTTTCTTCTTGTTGTGATGATGAGGGGTTGCACACACACCTTGATTGTGGCGTGTGATGAAGGTCACACACCAGGCTGCAGTGCTCACATGCAGCCAAGGCGCTCGCCAAGGGCTACACTTCTTGTGGTGTTTGCATAGGTACTTGTTAGGGGCTGCACTCCTTGGCTGTGGTGCTCACACATAGTCTGGTGTGGTGCTTACCAGGGGTCAGGGGCCATGCTGTGCTTTTAGTTGTGCTCACATACAACTGTGAATCACAGACAGCAGAGCTGCCAGGATCGTCAACACATGTGGTGGCACCAGGGATTGAACTCACAACATTATGCTTGTCTATACTTAGACAGGCGGCCTAAGTCAATGAGCTTCCCCTCTGGGCCTAAGATATGAGTTCATTGGGGGAGAGGGGTGTTATGGAGTTTGTATAGGTAACAAGTAATGAAATATTATTATTTATCCTATTTATTAAGGTGTTCATGCAGTCTTATTTTCATCCTACTTGTTAAGGTATTCATGGAGTCTAGCATCCAAAGAGATCTTCAAGACCTTTGGATTAGAAAAACAAAAACTGGCCCCATGTGATAAGAGTAAAGAAACCAGGATGATCTAAAAGCACCTAAATGAATGAAAACTGATTACTGTAGGTAAACTGAGGAAGGTGGAAAGTGCGAGAGGCAGTGCTTCTTGGAGGTTGGACTGAGGATGTGAGACTCTCTGATGATCAAGAGACATCCAAGAAGAGCCCAGACAGACACAGGCCACAAGTGTAATAAACACCAGGCAGCATATGTGACAGACACAAGGCAGCACAAGTGACAGACACAGGCTAACATGTATGAAAGATACCAGGCAGCACATGAGCCAGACATGGAGCAGCACCTGTGACAGACACTGGCCAGCACACGTGACAGACATAGACCAGAACATGTGACAGACACAGGCCAGCATGTATGACAGACACAGGCCAGCATGTGTGACAGATACTGAGCAGCACATGTGATAGACACAGACCAGCACATGTGACAAACCTAGGCCAGCATGTGTGACAGACACTGAACAGGGCAGCAAGTGTGACCAAAGCAGGGCAACAAGTGTGACAGACACTGGGTAGCATGTGTGACAAACACATGGTAGCACATATGACAGACACCGGGCAGCATTCCAAGCATCCACGCAAGGTCTCGAGCATGCTGGTGCAGATACCTGGGGGACCCCAAGCCAGTCGTCTGCCTGCTGCATGGCTTCCCGTGCATTATCCACAGGCTTCTGAGGATCCCAGTTCTCCCAGTCTGGGCACAGACCTGTTAACATACCACAAAAGGCAATGTTAATATTATTCTTACCAACTCTTCAGAGGAAGACTGACCCCTGACTCCTCTTAGCCATGAAGCTAAGCTAACCCTCCCTGGTCTCCCAGTTCAGAAAAACAATTTCTTCCAAAGATTCCAGTGAACCTAACTTTATGGACAAGAAGTTTCATGAGTATGAATTCGCCATGGTGGAAACCATTCTGACACTTCTCCCTAGAGACTGTCCCCTGGTGTGGTTGGAGATAGAACATCAGTTACTAAACAAAGCTGGGAAACTATCGGGGGCTAGTACCTTTTTTTGCAGGAAGGATCTTTCTGATCGGTCACACTCATATGTCAGTTCTCAGATCACCAAATACATTGGTGTGAAGTTCTATCATTTGTGGGCCCTGGGGGCATGAGGTACCCACCTGGCAGTTCTTAGGCTGCTCCTGGCTCAATGCTCAGGAGTCACTCCTTGTAATCTACCTCACTTCTGACACTCTCTACCTGGAGACAGGGACAGACACCACAGGTCCGAGGCTTGGTACCTCAGAGGCCAGTTGCCAGTCTAGGCTGTTATCCGTGTCTATGACCAATAAAAAAATAAATAGCCCACTATTATTGCTGGATATCCTATAAATGTAACCCATGAGTAATGGTTTATTCCTTAATGGATAATTCATCTTTCTTTCTTTCTTTCTTTCTTTCTTTCTTTCTTTCTTTCTTTCTTTCTTTCTCTCTGTTAACTGTGTCTCTGGCTATAGATTGGAGGGGCCTTCTCTAATATCTCCAGAAGGAGGTTCCTATGACTTCCTCTGGTAAGACCATTTGTGGCTCACAGATCTCAGAAAACGTTTATATACTGGAATAGCAGATTATTATTTTAAAAAAGCCTCACAAACAGCCATATGAGATCTTCCCCGGCTTTCTACCTAGCCATGAGCCTTACAACTCCCAGAGTCTTAAAATTTTTTATGGAGGCCAATAACACAGGTATAAATAACTGAATCAATAACCATTAAAGAGTCTCAGTTCAGATGATAGGGCTGAAAGTTCTAACAGCATCTGATTGTGTCCCCATCCTTAGGGGTATCTAGTGTCAGTTCATTAAACTGTATGGTTAAAAGAGGCATATTGCAAATATCAAGGATTTGCCTTTATCATTGCTCTAACTTCTTAGGATATTCTGATACTATTAGGAGCTCTCTACCAGAAAAGAGGATTATACTAAATAGAGGTTTCTTATTATAAATCACAGTATTCCTGGATATATCTAAAAAAAGACTGAAGTAGATTCTTTGTAATTTAAAAAGTCATTTGCTCAAAATTAAAACCTAAAACTTTTCTTAAAGTCTACAGGAAATGCAAAAAAAAAAAAAAACCCTTAGTTGAATGTTTGTTGAACCAGAAGGAGGTATCATAAATCATGTCTTTGGTCAGAAGCAAGGAAGAAGGCACTAGAAAATGCTCCATTGCCACTGAACTCAGTGATTTCTGGATGGCACTAGCTTTTAGGCTCTCTAGGAAGACCAGACTAGAGTAGTTTTTTTTTTTTAAATTAGAACCTTTTTTCATAAAAAAAAATTTTTTGGATTTTCCATGCATATATGAGGCCCTGGATTCAACATCCATATTGCAAAAGAAAAAACATCTCAAAAATAAAACAAGCATGTTATTGAACTAAGGAGATAACCCCAAGGACCAGAGCACATCATTACATGTAAAGAGCCCCAGATTCACTTTCTGGCACCCCATAGTCCCCAAGTTCTGAGTTCTGAGCTGGAAGCAGCCCCTGGGGAACACTGCCTCCACACCACCCCTTCCCCCCGCCCCGAAAAATTGGAGGTCTGTATAAACACAGGCTCTGGTTTTTCTATGGAGTGTATGCCAGCCAACACTACCCATTCGTCCAAACCCTACAGTGAGGATAATTACTATGTAAGTTCAACCACTCAGAAAAGAGCAATCCATAAGGGTGGGTGGGAAAGACTCCAGCTGGATTCTGAGCAAGCACTACTTCACAGCGAAGCAGAAAGGAGAGGGGGGAGCATGCCATACAGAGTCAATACCGCAGCAACAAAAATGGGTACTTTCCACTTAATGGAAGTTTTTAAATTTTCCTGCCAAGGAAAATGGGGGATTTGACAGCCACATGTCAAAGACAAAAGGTGCTTGAGGTACCAACTGCAAAACTCTGTGGAGTCAGAAATCTAAATTCAAGGGACCAGAGCAATAGTACTATGGGTAGGGCGCATGTCTTGCAAACCTGCTGACCCGGGTTTGATCCTCAACACCCCATATGGCCCCCTGAGCACCACTAGGAGTGATACCTGAATGCAGAGCTAGGAGTAAGCCCTGAAGCATTGCCTGGTGTGACCCAAAAAGCCAATAAATAAATAATGTCACGGTCACAGTCCTCCCGTTATTCATCGATTTGCTCGAGCGGGCCCAGTAACATCTCCATCATGAGACGTTTTGTTACTGTGTTTGGCATATAGAATATGTCACGGGGAGCTTGCCAGGCTCTGCTGTGCGGGCGAGATACTCTTGGTAGCAGGCCGGGCTCTCTGAGAGGGGCGGAGGAATCGAACTCCGGTCGGCCATGTTGGCTGTGTGCAAGGCAAATGCCCTACGTGCTAATCGCTCCAGTATTTAAAAAAAAAAAAAAAAACACTAAACTTAAAGACTGATCCAAGCAATAAGGCTTTTGGTGAGAATTTTTGCATAAATAAATGAATGTAAAGTTCAATCAAGTCTATCGATAAACCTATGAGTGCTGCTGTTTGAAAAGCAAATGGAGCTATTTTCAGCTATCTAACAATGGGCTAAAACCAGGAGAGAGAGTGATCACAGCAAGCCTAGCTTTCTTGCTGAAAAGGAGGATGTTCAGAATCCACACAACCCCTACCAATGAGAAGTTTAGGCAGCCCTGATCTCTTACCTGGAGCACAGCTGTCCACGAGGGCTCCCAGGGCTTTGCCATCTTGCCAGTTCTGGTTAAAGTTGGTGATAGGCAAGTAAGGGATCTTGTTCTGAATCCATCCTAGCAACCTCTGCTTCGGTGTCTGCTTCTTGGCATCATCATCGCCTTCATCCTCCCACACGGGCATGGAGATGGAGTAGTGGAGGATCAGGGTCCATACCAGGCCCAGGATGAGCTTCAGGTTCCCATCCACAATGGCTTTGCTATCTGGAGAGAGAGGCACGAGTGGTCATTCCTCCTAACTTCACAAGTATGCACTGCATTCAGTAAAGCAGAAGCCAACTGAAGAAATCTGCTAGAGAACCACACTGGGCTCTGTAAAAGTGAAAGGATGCTATGACTTGCTTATCAGGGTGCAGAGGAAAATCCCCCACCCCGAAGGGCTCTTCTAGGGCTGAACAAGAAAACCAAATGGTAGCTTGGAAAAGGAAAAACCAACTGAATGACATACACGTGGAAAATGTACATGGCAGTAAATTCGAAAGAGAAATAGGGTCGATGTGGGTATTTATCCTGTAGGAAGGATCCTGGGTGGTCAAGGAGAGAGAAGGGAGACTTCACATGGCATTACTTTATCAGGAACAGTAAAAAGATGACTTTCTTAGGTGGAGAGGACAGGTTGTTTGATAAACTTAACCCCCACACCCCCTCCCCAACATTCTTCTAAGTCATCAAAACAAGGAGCAGGAATTGCTTTGGTGAGGAGGAGAGGGGTCACACCTGGTGGTGCTTAGGGCTTACTCCTGGCCCTGTGCTTAAGGCCCAATGCTTGGGGGAATCACATGAAGGACCAGGGATCAAACCCAGGTTGGTCACATGCAGGGAGAATGGTTTAATCCCTGTACCATCTCTCCTGTCCAGACTTCCCTGTCCTTAACTTAAAATAATCTGCATTCTACTTTAATGGTGACAGTAGGTCTCCCAAGGCCCACACTGACTCAACTGACCCTCAGTTTCCCAGGCCAAGGTAACATCTATTAAAAGAAAGCAAGTTTGGGCATATTTTTCTAGGTCTATCTGAACATTTTGGGAAGACTAGCCCCATACTTTAAAATATTTGCGTATGGGAATAGATAAAATAAGAAATAAGATTCAACAATGTTGTTGGTATCAGTGGATCATGGACACATGAGAATGAGTAATGCTACTGTTTCTTCTTTGGTGTGTTACAAATTTTCCAGAGAAGCTTTTTTAAAAAAAAAAAAAAAAACTTAAAGATATCAGCTCATAAATAAAGACAATAAAGTGACGTGGCTGCATTCCAGAGAAAACCACCTACGATAGATAGAGCAGCACTAATCTGCATAAACCTCACCCAGAACTTATCCCATGGGACTATGTGCTTCTCTGGCTAGTTGTCCATGGCCATGTTGGATATTTTAGATGGGAAATTAGGTTATAAGTTTATCTATGAAGTGCTACAGGTTACCAAATTACTACCTATTGATTATATGAAATTCAGGCCAAACCATTTTCCATACCAGTTTCCTTTATTCAAGCTAAAGGGAGGAGAGCAGACTTCAAAAGGTGGACAAACTGGAGAAGTTACATGTGTGTCCATTGATGACTTGTTGGGGTGAAGGTGTTGACCCATCCCACATCGGGCCTCTATTTCCTGCACCAGGCACAATCTGAAAAGGGCCAAAAGTTTCCTCTTGCCACAAGCATCAGTCTGCAAAGCCTAAACGTTTTTGAGTTCTATGCTAAATGTTTTTCAAATGCAAGCTTGCAGATTTAGTTCATAAATCAAAACGTAAAACCAGTTTGCTCTATTTTTACCCAGCTTACACATGTTGGTCTAAAGGAATGAGAATTGAGTCCTTTTCAAAAAGATTTGAAGGGAAATATGACCCAGTTAAGGTCTGGGCCAAATTTCTGGAAAAATACAATGCCTAGAACTTCTGTTTCCAATGAATTCAAGGTGGGTGTCCAAATGGGAAAGCCCCCATTAAGGTCTCCTTGGGATAAATGATACCTTTATTCTGCTAGTCTAAGAAGCAGGAGGGAGAGCAGTTCTCATTCCAAAAGTGATTTTGACAGGTGAAGGTTCAAATGCTTCACCAAACTCTTGGAACAATAAAAAGATGGCAACTTGCCCAAAAGGCCTCCCCCATTCCCAACCACATGAAACGAGACTCTCAATGCCTCAAAATGAAATGCTATGCAACATCATGGTACCAGTGTCCGGCCATCATAAAGATTATAGATTTTCCAGACCAAGAGTGCCTCGTGATGCTTATGTAAATATGGAGCAGAGATGCAAAAAAAAAAAAAAAGGAATAGCCAGAAAACTTTTTCAGCAGAAATCCACCTCTTTGAGAGTTACCAAGAAGCTGACACCCGTCGCGTCTGTCCAACCTCCTAGAATCTACTTGGATTGTCAGTGGGTTGGAATGTGGCCACAAGTTTCTCCTCCCCAAATTCAACCAATCACAGTTCCCACATAACTGGCCTGGCTCAGGACAACACTGACCCTCAAACCACACGTACCTTCTGGAACTACTTAAAATTATCCAGCGTTGCTAAGTGAGACCAGTGAGGGTTTATTTTTTTTCTTGGTTTGTTTTGGTTTTAATAGCTCGAAAGTTCATTTGAGCTACTGCAAATTCTAGGCTGGAACCTTCTCATGTCATATCGGTTCACCAGTCCCCCAGTCCTTATTCAACAGTATTCCAGAATGGCACATTTAGTGGGGAGGGTAGAAACCCACTATTTTTAGGCAACCTTTGCAAGCACCTTGGAAACATCTTTGCAGGCAAACTTGCCTCTCTACCCACTGGGTGGGACCCACCACATCTAAGTTCCTACCCTTGGCTACTCTCCTGGCGGTTCCTGATTACTGAGGGACAGGAGGAGCAAAAGAGGCCGGGGCAGAACCTACTCCACACACCTCTCTGATTTGGTAGGGACAGCAGGCACTCACTGACCACCGTGCAGATAGATGGCTGCCGGGTCCTACTCAACTGAGTGAGTGCAACAATCAGGAGAGGTAAGAGTTTCGGAAACGTCCTTCCAAATGGGGGCTGCCACACACGCTGCTGCCACCCCCTCCCGTTCCGACTCCACTGGCGTCAGAGAGGAGGTGTCCCCGTACAAACCTGGAACCAGCAGCTCAATTACATCTTTCACTTTAAACAATGTGTCCACCCTTTCCAAGCCAATGGGCATGACCAAAGTCTACAGCAGTGATTCCAAAGTAGGTGGTCCTGCACCCAGGACTATACAGGGGGCAGGAGGAGGAGTATAACTGCCTCAGATGCCAAGAGGAAGCACTTTCTGCTTGTTTGCTACATGTTTGCTTAAAGAAGGCAGATATCCCGAAGGGCAGTAAATGGGCTTTTTTTTTTCCCCTGAAAGGGGGGCAGTAGGCCAGATCAGCGTGGGGGAGCTTCGGTCTCTGCCTTGCAAGGCTGCAGTCAGGAACAAAGGCAGGAATCATCCAAGCTGCCGGCCAACACACATTTCCCATGACCCACTTATTCATCTACCCAGCATCTGAGTACCTTCTGTGCCATGCTTCAGAGTGCAGGAAGCACAGAAGCGACCATCCCAGCGTGGAATATAAGCAGAAAACTGAAAGGAAGAAGGAACCTTGTCAACTAAATTAGCAGGAGGTGGAAGTATATATCCTATCTTCATCAGAAGGGCCATGAGTCTGGGAGGGCCATGCTCGCCTGTTCCAAGAAAAGGCTAACCCCCAAGCTGTCCAAGACATAGAAGGCCCATCCAAGGGGGACATTTCTGAGCTTGGCACTTCAAAAGACACCCCCCCCACACACACACATACACACACACACATACACTCACACATTCACACACGCATGAGAACCATGCAACTTACCAGACCTTCCCTGTCAGACCCAGGAGTGCACCTGGCCAGGGGACTGGGCTCCCCTGGACTTCCCGGATCCACACCCCACCCCACCCCCGGCTCATCCTGAATCCTTGACCCGGGCCCTGCTGACTCAGAACACTCTTCACCCTCCTCCCGATAGGGTCAATGCCTCTTCCGTCCACCTCTGTACAATCACAACAGGTCCCACGTTAACCCTCCCTCGACGCCAGCCCCATCTCATTCTAAACAATCTCCCAGGCTGAGTTGGCCTCCTTGGCCGAGTGTCAGTGATAGGAACAGTTGGTTTTGTTCCCGCTGATCCCTCACAGTAACACAACACAGCCTCTGCCACAGGAGGAGGGCTCAGCATACCCACACATGCCAGGAAGGAGACCCCATCCAGGCACCCCAATTTCCATGAGCCTTCGTTTCTTTACCTAGATGATGAGGATACTGTTGGAACCCCAGGTGCATGGGGCAGCCAGGAAGCCTTAAAACACAGGTCTGGCACTCAAACCCTCAGTTTTGATTCAATGTTAGTATTTTTATCACTATCATTCTTATCACCACTGACTTCAACATGTTTTATTATCTAAGACAGGAAGGATGAAGCAGATGAAGAAAGGGAAAGCCTAGCAGTTAGAAGTGAGGGAGCTACACATTCGTACTGGGGTTTCACATCCTTTTTTTTTTTTTAATTAGTGAGACATCATGAGGTACAGTTGTAGACTTGCAGCACTCTTTACAATAGCCAGAATCTGGAAAAAACCTGAGTGCTCGAGAACAGATGACCGTTTAAAGAAACTTTGGTACATTTACACAATGGAGTACTATGTAGCTGTTAGAAAAGATGAAGTCATGAAATTTACATACAAGTGGTACTACATGGAAAGTATCATGTTAAGCGAAATGAGTCAGAAAGAGAGGGATAGACATAGAAAGATTGCATTCATCTGGGGAACATAAAGTAACAAAATAGGAGACTAACACCCAAGAATGGCCGAAATTAGTACCAGAAATTTTACTCCATGGCTTGGAGGCCAACCACACATACTAGGGGAAAAGGCAGCTCAGATAGAGAAGGGAGCACCAAATAAAGGGTGTTGGGAGGATCCTCCCAGGTGGGAGAAGCATGCTGAAAGTAGACTATAGACCAAACATGATTGTCACCCATTCCCATCCATTTTGATGGCTCAGAGGGTCCAACGCCAGCAGCATCTAGCAAAGAGCTGCCCCCAAGGAAGAGCAGACAGTGAAGTTCCAGTTCCTGGGCGCATAGGCAGGCCCTGTGTGCAGTGGCCACCCAGGCTGGCCTCACAGCCTCTCCCCCCCTGTGCTGGAGAGTTCATAGCTGAGCAGATGCCCAAACCAG